AGTAGACTACAATGTCGGCTGTTCTGACTCAAAGACTGTAAGTACCTTTTTTAAATTTAAAGAATTTTTATATTTTATATATTTAAAGCGAGTTTTTTGGGCAGTGTAGAGTAGGGCTTGTTGTTTGTCATTTCTCCGATCACAAATGCAGACATGGTTTTATGTTTACGCGGCGCGATGCAACGCAATGCGTAAAAAGACAGTATAAGTCATTATAATCCATAATTATGTCCCCACTGGATGCAACGAATGCCTCGTTTATAATGGGTTTTCATGTTTTTGAATCATCGCTCCGGCCTGACAGGGCATCATCACAATGTGGTAGGGGCGTAACATTTCCGTCACACGCTTGAGGTATTCGGCCAATCACAACGCTCTGGATAGCTGGCCAATCACAGCACACCTCGCTTTTTCAGACCGATGAGCTTTGTAAAAATCGACGCGTTTCAGAAAGGAGGGGCATAGAGGAGAAACAATAATGTACAGTATGTGGAAAATAATGTGTTTTTTGAACCTTAAACCGCATAAACACATTTCATTACACCAAATACACAAAATAATGTTCTTTTTAGCAGCATCATATGACCCCTTTAAAAAGAACATGGACGCAACATCTCATTTCCATAATTACCAATGCAATCTAACAAGAGCAGCGCAAATTAGTGTAAGGACATGTTCCAATGATGCCTTCCTCTGGCATTCAAAATAAATTAATACAGGTGGAAAAAATTCTCTCCCTTCTACACGCGGTCTCTCTGTTCTCTGCAGTGCCTCCTCCTGGCAGCAACATTCGCAGCCATGTGAAGCGCAAAGTGAGTTAAGACATGCTTATTTGATTGACTACAACAAACCTTAGTAAATCGCGTTGCATGAATCAGTTTAAATACTCTCTTCTCATAAATTTTGTGTCTGAAAGAGAAACTCCTACAAATGCATATGCAATATGTTCAGCCACAAAAATCCACACCTTTTCAGTACTAATTTTGCACTGCGTGTCTTTAATAAATCCTGACAGTATTTTTTAATGCTAAAAGATGGTTTGCGTTGGGGCAAACTGTTAGTAAATTTGGCCCATAGTATGAATTCATTCAAAAACTATTTTAAGGAGGAAAAAAAAAAGCCTAAAAAACATTTTTCTTTTTTGCTGAGGCAGTAGTTGAACCAACACAAAAAAATTATATATTTACATTTTTAGAAATGTATTTTTCTTTTGCAGTTTGCGTCAAGCTGGAAATCACAGCTATAATGTAACTCCATAAATCTATAAACACTTCTGCTGAACAATGATGATGTAAGAACTTGAACATAATAAGCCGTTTTCAAGAAAATGAATGTACAAAATCAAGGAATATGATAGTGGGAACAGCACTGGCCCAAAAAGGGAAAGTGACAGAGTTATGTTAAGTGGCCTGGGTCAGTGAGCAATATTTATCGATGAGCCCTGCATAAATCTTCAGATACAAAGTTGGGCACATCATAGATAGACTCTTACCCTGACGAATGTCAAAGCCAGGTGGCTGAGTGAGTCCATCCACAATGAGCTGAAGAGTCTCAGGTGTGGTGTCCAGAGATTTGGCCAAGACATCTAGACCTCTGCTCTTAACACTGCTCTCAATACTCTGCCTGAGTGCAGCGCTGCCCATCTGATCCAAACTGCCCCCTATTTGAGACAAGAACCTAAATGAAGAGAGCAAGAACATACAATTACTGCCTTGACAAGTGAAGAAAAAGTTAAGGACATTTAATATAAAACCTTATGTAAACTTTTCAATCTTAATCAGAAACACTCCACATGCAAACACATACACTTTCAGATGCTGTGTTAAGGCAGTGAGGTCTGTTGAGGACCATGGGAGGTGGTGTCTTAATGAATGGCTTTTTAATAGCCCTTCTCAGGGCCCAGTGCACGTGGAGGAACTCCCCCGACACCAGCGAGGAGCCTGAAGGCCGACACACGGAGTGGAGGAGAGCAAAGACTGGGAGAGGAGGTAGATAGGGGAGGAGAGGTGAGACTAATTATGCCCTAAATCTTGATTTCTAGAGTCCCAGAGATGAAGACTCTGTCTCCCTCCATAAATCTAACCGCCTTGTGAGCGCCATACATAAAAGGAAAAGGTTAGTGCTGAGGCTTGAGCAGTGAAGCAGGAACAGCGCAAACACAGCCAGCAAAAAAGATCCAGACATGGCCTATTACTTGGCACAGGCCATAAGCTCTGGCTCAGGATGAGCCTTTATATTCATGATGTGATCATGAACTGCAACACTGAGACAGTGGTTAATCTTCAGCTTTATATTGTGCTGCATAGAAGGTCTGTTAGGGACATATACTACAAATCGAAAAATGCATGTAAATACACAGCATATGTATGGGTGGGAATCTTTAGAAAAAAAAAAGTGGTGACACTTCTAGGTTTTCCTGATATCTCAAAAAAGAGCTGCTTAGATTAGTGCTTTAGCATCAAATTAACAAAACTTGGTTTTGGAACTTACATGGCATTTCTTTCCATTTTTAATGCCACATTTCTCAGAGTTTAGAGTTTTGTTACAAGTTCAAATACTGAAAGCTGATTCTGAAACGAAAAGAAACCCATATATTTCTTCACTACAGACCATAAATATCCCTCTATAATAACTTTTGTTAACAATTATTATTACTTTATTTTCCACCTTAACAGATCACACACATTTCTTCTCATAACCATCACTAAAATGCCTGTTTGAAGAACCTGGAATAATGTGTAACTAAATTTAATATGTGTAAGCTAATAAAAACCAAAATAATTACATTTTAAATAAATTCATTCATTAATTATCTGGGCTAAGTCATTAAAACTGTTCAAAGTGTAGATCTACATGACTTAGCCCAGTTAATTAAAGGCTTTTTATTTTTACTATGCGAGTGCCTTGGAGTATTTAATCTTCTCAGTTTGATATTTACCTCAAAATATCCAAAGAGCACTGGTGATTACGTGAAAAGACCAGTGCAGCTTTCTTGGCCCCCGTTGTTTTGTAAATTCATCCATTATTTCATATTGCAATTAGTAAAACAGCGATTTAAAATTTAGAGTGCCAAACATTTTCAGACAGCATTACATTTGTCTGTAATGTTTTGTCCTGTGTATGCTTGCTAAATAAATACAATTATGAATAATTAGATTAAAATTCAATTTTTTCACGAAAATATAAAACAGAAAAATAACCATAACATGTAAATAAAACAGATTCAAATTCCAAATGTTTATATATTGATGTGGAATCATTTGAGAAAATTCACAACCATAAGAAATGTTCCCACATTAAAATTCTGGCTGATACCAAAAAAACAATTATTATTTTTGTATTATGGGCAATAACAACTGATAAGTGGTCAAAATTCTATACTAGTTTGCTAAAAAAAAAAAATTCTAAATGGAATAAAGTGAATTTAGGCATCACAACATTATATATCTGGAAGTTGCTTTAAATGTTAATATAACATACTGATAAAAGGTCAGTCCATAATTCCTCAGTTTGCCTTATAAAATCATAAAAGTTAGTGCCTAAACAATGTTCTCTCATCAGAGTACAGTGCAAATGAGTGATATAACCTCTATGGGGACACACACATGTCCTGGAGTGTGCAACAAGCCTGTATCGGGGGTCAAACTGTCCAGAGGTGGCTGTGGAATGCTGGGGTCCTGGGCATTACTGGAATGTGAGTTTTGGCAAGAGGAGGGGGCAGACCTGCTGAGCCAGCTTGCTGATGGATGGCCATCGCCGTGACAGCCTGACGCCAGCGCAGCTGTCCTCTGTGTGAGTGACAGGGCAGGTGGGTTCAAGCCCCACCCATTTCCTGTTGCAGACAGAGGGCTTGACAGCAACAGTGACAGGCAAATCTACTCACACTCGCTCTATTGTATGTATCCAGACAATTTCACACTGTCCGAGCTCGCAAACAGATACATAGCACTAATACGCTTACATACAGATCATTGCTCCTCCTCGACTCATCCTCTTGAAAAAGTGTACGCTTGACAGGACGGATGCTGGTAGAGTGTAATTTTAAACTGTGTGTGTCCAAACATTGACAAGACACAGATCCTTCATCATTTTAGCGAGAAATTCATATGTACGAATATATTCTGAATAATCCACTCATTTATTAAGAATATGGCTTAGGTGGCGTTTTAAAGTTTAACCCCTTCTCAAGCACCCCCATTTTGGCATGGAGACAGGTGAAAAGTAACAACATTCCTCAACACGCTGAAGCTGCATAATTCAAGTTATCATACTTATCATACAAACACTGTCGGAAGAGTTCTGCATCAAAGTTTTGTAAGAGTTAAACCTACTAAGAACAAACCCAAACCCATACATTTTCAATGCTGAGCTATAAACACAGAATGCCATAAGCAGCCTTTCATGCTCACATTGAAACATCTAACAGTTCTAGAGCAGTACTAGATCTAGTGAAACAAAAAAGTAATCATAGACTCTGTTGGGCCTTTGAGTTATGAGGTGATGAAAATGCAAAGAGTAACAGACACGCACGCAAACTTTCACACTGCGGATGAATTCCAGCTTGTCTCTCAAGTAAAAGATTCGATGAAAGAACCACAGAACCGAGACATTCAAGTGACATTGCATCTGTAGCCTGCACAGCAAGAACAGCATTAATGGTCAAATGGTAAGAATTTTGTAATGTTTATGAAATAAGTCTCTTATGCTCACCAAGGCTACATTTATTTGATCGAAAATACAGTAAAAACACTAATACTGTGAAATATTTTTACAATTTAACTTTTTCTATATATTTTAAAATGTATTTTACTCCTGTGATGGCAAAGCTGAATTTAAAGCATTAAGATGAACTGTCAGTCATTAAGTCCTCAAATCATTCTAATATCTTATTAATAAGAAATGTTTCTTGAGCACCAAATCAGTAATTTTGAAAACAGTTGTGCTGGTAATATTTTTGTGGAACCTGTGATAAATCTTTTTAGGATTCTTTGATGAATAGGAAGTTCATAAGTTAAGATATTAATGATCAAATCTGAGAGCTTTCTGACCCGGCATAGGCAGCAAAGGAACTACCACATTCAAGGCCCAGAAAGGTAGTAAGGACATCGTTAAAATAGTCCATGTGACATCAGTGGTTCAACTATAATTTTATAAAGCTACGAGAATACTTTTGTGTGCAAAGAAAACAAAAATAAGAGCTGCCGTTCTGATGTAGAAATCGAATGCGCTGCGCCTTGTTTGCAAGCAGAGGTATGCATGCATAAGTGTCGTGGTACTCTCGTGAACAAAGGTCTAACAGGTTTAGAATGACTTGAGGGTGAGTAATTAATGACAGAATTTTCATTTTTGGGTGAACTATACCTTTAACTATCATTTTTTTTTACAGCATTTATTAATCTGGGTTCATTTATAAATATACTATAGTTTTTTATTAATTCATGTTTGCTCAAAAAATAATCGTAATACAAGTTTAAAAGTTAAAGATGTATTAGCATATGTATTTAACGATATATAATTAAAATGAACATAGAATAATAAATGCTGTAAAGTGATTGTTTATAATAATTCATTAAGTAACATTAACAAATTAAACCTTCCTGTAAAGTATTACCAGATTAACAATGTATATTATGACAAAACTAAAGACACATCAACTGCAAACAAATTACCAAAAATTCCATTCCACATTAGCTCACCATATGGTGAATGTTAATAATGATACAAAAAAAAAATAATAAATTTCCAGTGGAAAATTAATTGAAAAGTCAGACACAAGCTTAGTGTCCTGACAACACCTGCTTGTAAATGACTTTCACACATATACCTGTGCCCTGTACTTCTACCAATTTCAACAAATTACTCAAGCACTCATATTGCCCAATGGCAACTACCCATCATCCTACACTGGTCCTGCACAGATTTCCGTGATGTTGGTCAGGAACACTGTGCTTCCCTCCAGCTGTACCTCTGGAGCGCCAGAGTTGGCACAAGGACAGAATAGAGATGGAGAGAGAGAGAAAGGAGGTTGGAGAGCTGAGCTCTGAGTGATTTATGAACAGCTACAGTGTGAGTGTGGCAGTGGCGGGCGATTGGCCCAAGGGCTCAGGTTTCTGGAGGGGGTCTCAGCTGGGCTTATGTTACCCTCTGGTGTGTTAGTGTTTAGGGGGTACCAGTGCTCCTGCTCTTTTGGATCCAGAAGAGCGGAGTCGGCCATATCCTCCGGGCATAATGAAAAGCAGCTCCGCCGAGGAGAGTTGTGGAGGAGGCCTCTGTTCCACACACCGTAAGCTACTGGGTGGGCCTACAGATAGAGGCTATCCAGACACAATGAGGCTGCTTTAGCGTGTGGTCCCCTTAGCAGTAACCCTGAAGTTAATTCGTTATCATCAGTGAATGTAAGATATTTGATATCAAACCTCCGATGATTCAGTGACTGAGAAAAATGAGTTACTAATGCTGCACTGAAAATGATGAAGAGCTATTGACTTCCTCAGACTCACTTGGCAACACTTATAACGCCGGAATGGATATACTGTAGGTGTGTTGCTTGGTTGTTAAAGACAGAAAAGCACTCAAAGGAATAGTTCACTGAAGAACGACAATTGTCATAATTCACCTTAAACCTGATGCGATATATCTAACAATATCACAATTGATTTAAAAGTTTCAGAGAGCAAGATTTTCAGTGGACCAGTCCTCACACAAACATATCATATGACTTGGAACAGTGCAACAGTCATATAAAGCACTTTTATGGTGCTTTTTTGTCATTTTGGAGCTTGACAGCATCCATACCCATTTACTTTCATCGTATGAAAAAGAGTGGCCAGGATATTCTTCAAAATATCTTCTTTTGTGTTCCACAGAAAAATGTCACAGGGCTAGGAAATGACATGAGGACGAGCAAATAATGACAGAATTTTTATATTCAAGTGAAATATTTCTATACATCAGTACTGGGGCTGCTACAATATCAGATTTTTTTCTACATGATTATGCAATACGGTAATGATATTATTGCGTTAAATGGATAGTTCACCCAAAAATTAAAATTCTGTCATTAATTACTTACCTTCATGTCGTTCCATACCCGTAAGACCTTTGTTCATCTTCGGAACACAAATTAAGATATTTTTTATGAAATCCGAGAGCTCTCTGACCCTGCATAGGCAGCAATGCAACTGAAATGTTCCCAAGCACAGAAACGTAGTAAGGACATCCGTAAAACAGTCCATGTGACAACAATGGTTCAACCACAATTTTACGAAGCTACGAGAATACTATTTGTGTGCATAGAAAACAAAAATAACGACTTAATTCAACAATTCTTCTCTTCCAAATCACATATTCCGCCATTATGGAGAGTACCATGACGCAGTGCATGCGTGTTCAACGTATAGTAAGCAGCAGCACGCGCATGCGTTGTTTACGTGCAGAGGTACTCTCGATAATGGCGGAAGACATGATTTGGAGGAGAACTATCGAATTAAGTCGTTATCTTTTTCTTTGCGCACAAAATTCTTTTCTAAAAGCTTCGTAAAATTACGGTTGAACCACTGATGTCACATGGACTGTTTTACTGATGTCCTTACTATATTTCTGGCTCTGGGAACATTTCAGTTACATTTCTCTCTATGGAGGGTCAGAAAGCTCTTGGATTTTATCAAAAATATCTTAATTTGTGTTCCGATAATAAACAAAGGTCTTATGAGTTTGGAACGACATGAGGGTGAGCAACTAATGACAGAATTTTAATTTTTGGGTGAACTCTCTCTTTAACTATAGAAATTTTGAAAAAAAAAAATAATGCTATAAGTTAAATTCATCTTTTACTTTGTTTATTTTGTGTTTTCGAGTTTTTAGTAATGTAGAAAGTGAAGAGAGAGTTTATAACCATAACTGTACAAAAAGCATATATATAACTTACTGTTGATCAGCACATACTGCAGACTTAGGTGTCTAACACAGCATCTTTTTTAAGGAATCCAAAAAACTCAAACACTGACAAACTAATTTTTTTGCATGTCGTTAGCTAACTATGGTTGTAAGTTTCGTCGTAACCAGCATACTTCAACAATCTTTTCTGAAACCATAGTTTTTAACAAACAGCATCACAAACGTATGTAGTTGGAATTACAGCTCTTGTCCGTTTCAATCTACTGTATATATTTTATCATGTTAACAATCAGCATGGTTTTTGAAGAGTACCCATGTGCATAAATGCATAAGGAAATGACAAAAGAGGGAACCTGTGATGAATCAAACATCAAATAAAGAAAAACGATGGGCAAGAAAAAATAGTGAAGCAATCATCAGGTGCCATGTTCATTACAGCACCTTCTATGAGATCTCAAATGAATTAATTAGTAGTTATTATCACTCCACCATTTGCGCATGTCATTAACAACAGTCCTATATTGTTGAAACCATAGATAGGCTATATAGTCCACATTTGAAGTGGATCAGAACCTTTCATCAAAGTTGTCCTAAAACCAAAATACGTTCTTGTCTTAGGTCAACTTTGATTAACTTTTTTGCTCCACTTCAAATGTTGACTACTGTATATAAACAGATGCCTCATTAGTGGTTGTTTCTATGAGCCTCTATATGCAAGGCGTCCACTATATTAGAATGGTGAAAGCTGGTCCATGAGAACTCAAGAATATACAGTATGCATGTTTGAATATCTATATCTGCAATAGACTTCAGCTGATGGTTTTGCAATAAAACAAGACTAAGCCATTAGCAAACACATTACAGTTACCATAGTTTAAAAACCTGTAATATAGAGTTAATACATATAAAAACACAAACCAACACATTCCCATTTCTACTGGAATTTAAATCTCAGCGTTTTTTTTACAATCAAAATGACAAAATGGCAAACATGTGTCGATGAAGGTGTGACAATGTGACAATGTTACTTACAGTTTTGGGAAATTGGTAAAGTCAAGACTAGTTGGTCAATTTATCCAACATACTATGGTAGTTAATCAGCAAGTCACGTCGTTGTATGGGAAACACACCCCATATAGTTATTGCCGCTGGATTATTTAGGATATTATCACACTTGTAGTATTAACACAACATTTAATGTTTTAAATATCATGGTTAATCACTACCTTCCCCTTCATGCTCTTGCAAATTACCGAAGAGCAAAGAAAGCGCTATCAGTTACTGGCTATAATAAAATGGCACGTCACAGAAAACTGGTCAAGTGAAAGTGAGTTTATTTTGGTAGGAGGTCTCAATAAGAGCTAACATCAACCTTTGTTTCACAGCTAATACTTAAATACTAGAGATGGTTCATCAGGGGGTCAGTGCTACATATTGTGTATGCGTATTTGTGTGTGTATGAGTGGGAAGTGGTGGGGCTAAGGGTATCAAGTTCATCACATTAGAGCAACATGATCCGCCATTACCGTCCACTGGACCACGCTTCGCAAAGCGCCGACGTGCAACGAAATCACTCACGAAATGGAGGGAGACAAGCTGCATGTTTTCACAAGCACAACGTGTGACTGATTTAAGCCACCTCCTGTCCTGACTTCAAAAATATTAAGCGCAAACCAGTCACGGATGCAGCGAGGGGCGTTTTTCCATTTCATTTCTATTCTTATTAACTGCTGCATTTATATGAATGAGAATGAGAGAGGAAGTGAAAAAGCCTGTCCAATAATTTGCAAAGGGAATGAGAATGAGCTGGTGAAACAGAGGACAAGAGTGATGAACCCAGTGCATAAATGGGTTACAGATTGTTGGGAATACGTCAAGCTTGTCATCATCATTATAAAGACATCACTCAGACGGTTCTGCTCGCATCATTAGCTTTATGATTCCAGCCCTGGCTGAAGCTCGCAACATATTTGATACATTTTATTAGCAATACCCAGAATTCCTCCCAAGCCCCCTAGAAACCCTTGTTTAAAGTCCGCTACATTAGCTGGGCGCTACATTACCAACTCAGCACTGCTGGTGGCCATGTTTAATCAAATCCTGTTACTCCAAGAAAAATATGCCTGGGCTCATGATGACAATTGGAGTGGAGCAACGTCCATTAGCACAGCATTTGGTAACGATAGAGAATGGTGATAATACAGGGGACTGCAAGGGAGGCTTTTCTGCCTGGTTTAGTCGGAAATGAAGCCTAACGGAGAGAAATGAAAACAAACAGAAGGAGAGGAGAGGAGGGAGGATATGACAGGATGATTATTCCCCCTCTCCATGCCCCTAAGTGGCTTTATTAGACCTCTAACCCTAAAAGGCGCCTCTGACGACAGATCAGTCAGAGAAGGAGTGGATGGACACGTATACGATTCACACATGTATATACAGAGGTGTCTACAGTCTCAGACCAGCAGTGAAAACATGTTCAGTTTTAAATCTATTTAATTCATACTAATTTCATTTTTTAAATATTATATTGATTATTATGCAATATGATTTGTAAATTACAAACTATCTATCTATCTATCTATCTATCTACCTATCTAAATTCTATTTTAATTCTATGTTAATTCTATTTAAATAATATATAAATATTTTAATTCTATTAATTTATAATTCTACTTAATTTATAATATACAATATCAAATGCATATTCAATATAAAATTCTGGCCTACAAATAGTACAGAAACTTCAATATTTCTTCAAGTCATAACTTTCTTTGTTTTACTTTTTTATAAAATCATTTTTGGCAACTTTGTTTATTTCCAGGTTTAACTGGAAAAAAAATCAAGATTTTCAGTGTGGTCTCAGATGTTTGTACACAACTGCACATATACATGCAAAGTCACAAAATGAAGTGTAATTGCACAAGTACACACACTGTGCTACAACTGAAGCCAAAGTACGACATCAGCTATGAAGGAAATGAAAAAGTGAGTAATAGGCAGTGAATGAATGTCTTGTTCCTAAATTATAGTTGCCATTCACCAATAAATCCTCCAAATTCCACAGCATGCGGATGAATGCCTTGCCCACGGTTCATATTAAATTTTCAAAAACCTCTTTCACATGCACACACTGATTTTGATTTAACTTGCACTGTCATGCACGCAAGCACATCCAAACCACAGGGCATCCGTGCGCACGTCTTCTGGAAGCAACAGGCACAAGTGTCAGATTGGAGTAGTCTAAACAGACTTGAGCAGCACAGCTGCGGGGAGAGCGTCATTCACTGCCAGAGAGTGCGGAGCACACGCTGAATGTGCTTTTCATATGAGCGCCAGCAGCTCGCACAACTCTCACACTGAGCAACACAAGACCAGATGCTCCCACTTGAGGTAAACACTTGTTACCACTTGGGTCAATCCTTAAGCAGATCCAATGATCATCTGCAGTAGTGCAATAACGTGATAGTTTAGTGCCACGCTCTGTTCTCACCTCAAGGCGATGCTGTAGGATTCGGGATGGATGCAGGTTTGGTCCAGTGGGTTAAACTGGTTAGAGGTGCTCCCAGAGCCTTTGACTTTTTTCTTCTCAGCTGTCTGTTTCAGAGGAACCTTGAGGTCTTCGTTCCCTCCAGAACAGACACTGCTTGAAGCAAAATTACAAAAACATTGAGGGTAAAATGTCTGAAATATACATTTGCTTTTACATGTGATTTATGACCTATAAATTGTAAGTATTTCTTCTTCATTTTCTAGAGATTGGGGTAAGCTGTGTCACTTTTTAGTTGCATTCTACAAGAAATTAGATATATCTGATGATATCCTGATGCATTATAATACATATGAATAAGTATAAGATTATTTCATCTAATCAACGGATTAGATGAAAGCGTCTATTACATATAACCATTAAATTATGAGAAGAAACTGGTCAAGTGATACAACTTGCCTCACATTGCCCCAAAAAGATTAATATAAATGAGAAAATAAGTAAAAGAGTAAAATTATTCATTAAACAATCCTTATTTGCTGCACAATAATTATATTTTTGGAGTGTCTATTTAGACTAAGTGCAAATAGCCCGCCTTGTTGGCAGAGGCTATTTACAGTAGCTCCACCCACAAACGTGTGTTAGGTCAACAGTATAAAAGGCGCCGACAATCGTCAGCTTCAGTGGTGTAGATGGTAAAGTGCGTACCATAGTCTTTTTGACGCAATCGACCCGGGTTCGAATCCGCCTTTTACCGAACTTTTTTTTTCTCCCTTTTCAAATCTCAGATCACATTGGAAAGGCATTTATTTTCAATAAAAATTAAGGAAATCCGATTTTTTCCCCTCCCTTTTCAAATATCATATCACATCGGATAGGCATTTATTTTTAATAAAAATTAAGGAAATAATCTAAAAGTTGAAAACAAAATATCGGGTAGGGATAGGGTAGGTGTAAGAATGGCTTTATTGTCCCAATAAGGTGGCATCCATTTAATAATTTGAATTAAAATTATAATTTACACTCAATACGTTATTACGGCATACTGTTTTATAATGTACTACAACACTGAGGTGCAGATAATTGCCACTATTTGCAATAAGTAGTATAAATAGCAGAAAATCCAGCTATTTTTATCAGTCAGCCAGGGAAAGGTTTAATATTTAGAACATTTTAATGCAGTCAAAAGTTTTTCAATAGCACCTGTGGCATTAATAGTATTAATAATTATTATTAATAATAATTACATTCATTTATTAATTAATATGAATTAATAATTGTATTTTCTCCATTTGGAGGCAAAGCCCACCATTACTATTGGTTAAGCCACTGACACGTTAACCAAAAAATGAAAAATTTTTAATATTATAATTTGCAGCTAAGGTTTAGACAAATAATTTACATCATTTTACACACTGGCCTTTTATAAATATATGATACAATATATGATAAAAATAATGCATAATTATTTTAGGTTAAGGGGGCGACACATCTTATCCCACTACCCCCTAAATGATATAAAGGCAGCTTGGTGCAAAAGCATGTAACTGTAGAAGTGGCGTGATTTGGACGTGTACCTGCGTACTGTCTCAGGGTTGATCCTGATAAAGCCGGCACACTGCTGGAAGCTCTTAGGACCGAGGCCTTTGACCAGTTTCAGCTGCTCTCTGTTGAGAAAAGGCCCGTTCTTTTCTTTCCACTCCATAATACTGCGTGCTCGCCCTGCGTTCAGACCTGCTATGTGCCTGATAAAACAAAACACCTCATTTAAAAAAAGGGAAATCGGTAATGCTTTAGTATAGGGACAAATTCTTACTATTAACTAGTTGCTTATTAGCATGCCTATTATTAACATATTGGCTGTTTATCAGTACTTGTAAAGGACACATTCTGCATGACCATATTCTACATTCCCAATCCTACCCAATACCTAAATTTAACAACTACCTTACTAACTCTTAATAATCAGCAAATTAGAAGTTTTTTGAGGCAAAAGTCAAAGTTAATGTCTTGTTAATAGTGAGAATTGTACCTTAAAAAAAGAGCATTCAAAACATATATGATTTAAAAATGTTATGTTTTCTACATTTTTCAGTTTTTTTTCTAATGTGCTAGGCTAGCAAGTTTTGCTATTTTTCTCACCGTTTGCTATTTTTGAACACCTTTTATGCTTTACGCAATGAAACTTCTTAGGTCGCAATGAGATTTAAGTGATTTAAGTGATTCCTGAGTCAGATATAACAGTTATTCGGTCCAAAAAACCTACATGTAATCTCTCACATCTTCCCGCCGGTTCAAATCCTGTTTGTTTTTGGAATTAGTCATTGATTTATACGTCAATACCAATCATTAACCACACATCCTGGATCAAGAGCTTCACTTTAAAAGTCCACCCAAGGCCATGGAAATTTCTTTTCATACTTTATGTAATCCGTACATATTCACAAACATGAAGTCCGATATTAGTAAAATATTGAGAACATTTTCCAGCAGAATTACCAAATGGCTGCCTAAGATCTCATAATCTTTTTGACCTTTCCATACAAAACAGAAAGGTATTGAGACAATTTTTTTTGTGAGGCGGTATGGGCAATTCGAAGTGGCAGCTCCCCTAAAAGCAGCTATGTAAACATTATATGTCATCACTTATAAATAAGGGGTGAATAACACTGGAGCCACGAACACATCGTCTGGAGCTCTGGTACTGAGAGCTCATTTAAAGTCAGGTAAACAGATGACCTGATCCCAGCCTACCTCACGAGCATTTAACCCTGCATGTTAATGGGATCACACAGCTTTCCAGTTCAGTATAGTGATGTATGGGTGTCTAAGTACACCATAAGTCAAAGGCATAATCCTAAAGAGTTAAATACAGAAATCTGATATTTGTGAAATGTGCGTATTTCATTCTAATGCTTACATGTATCTGAATGAATGCATTGACGAAACATGAAAGTGTACCTGCTTTCATCAAAATATTTTTTAACTCACTTATACTAACTTCTAGTGTTGAACGAAGGATTTTTTTAAAAAAGAATAAGCTGTGTAAATGAAAGCTAACATTTCGAAGGCACATCTAGGGGCATGTAGACGTGATCCTGATTGTATTCCGGAAATATATTATTCCAAATCACTGTTTTCCGTACTGCAAACAATTTGCAATTACTCATGAAATCCTACAAGGTATTAGGCAGAGCGAGTGGATGTAATGAATGTGTACATTTCAGTGTTTCTGTAAGTTTATGTGACTAATATTCGAGGCAGTATATCTCAATTTGTGTATATGTTAGCGAGCGGCAATGTTTGTGTATGTAGATCACAATGTTTGTGTGTAGTGGGGATGTGAAAAGATGTTACAGTGCGTGCGTCTCTGAGTGTGTGTGTGTGTGTGTGTGTGTGTGTGCGCGACGTGTAGGGTGTCAGACTAAACAGAGCGCTAAGCAATAACGGGGAGGCGAGTGAGAAGTTGCCATGTTGTGACTCCTGCTGGAAAGTATTTGGCCTCTACCTCATCAGCGTCTCTGAACAGATGTTGATGTCCACTCCCACGAAGCTCACACACTCCTGCACCACCCCATCCAGCGCTGCCCTCAGCAAACTCTGTGACACGTCGTGCTGGAAAGAGTGACCACAGTCTTAGAACGTGTGTTTGTGCAAGAAAGGAAAAGGAAGGGCTCTGTTCTTGACCTGGGCTCTGAAAACGAAATCAAACACCTTGAAGATGTTTTTTCTAGTATGTTGACTTGATTCAATCGCAATTTTGACATATATTAAAAGTTCACTAAATCGCTACGGTTAATTTGAAAATAATTAAAACAGTAAAAGTTCTACTCTGTGTCTTTCGAAATGTCAAGAAAGTCTACATCTATTAGATATCTCAGCAACAAATCATGCTGTCTCAGTCACTTTCCAAAAACAAGCAGCTTTGCAAGGCCAACGTTGTGTCATTGGCAATCAAACGGTAACCCTAAATACTTTGCGGTGTTCATGCTGGTCTGAGGGGGAAAAAAGAGACGGCAGAATAAAAAGGCAGCCAGTGGATTGCTTTGCCTCAAGAGACACGGAGAGAAGGTCTGAGGCTGTTTTCATTGGAAAGCATCTGTGACACTTCAAAGTCCTCTCACAGGGGTTTTCCATTAAGTGCAGGGAATTGATAAAGTTAATCCAGCCGAACTTTTCACACTTAGGAGGCGGTTTTCTAAAATGGAGATGGAATTCAAAGCAAAGAAAACCACAAGGCCAAATTCAAAACTGACCAAAATTAGGAGCAAGCAGGGAATTCTGACAAGCCTTTGTCTGTCTTGCATTGAGACCAGTATCCATATGGAAGAAGTTATACCAATGCTTGAGACCTGCTAAGAAGAATGTGCAATTCTTCATTTGGAAGAACTCATTACGACTTTTACAAGATTTTCATTTTCATGTACTAGCTACAGTTCACCATGGTGGCTTGGGAGAAAAACATATAATTTTACTCATATTTAAAGTTGCAATGAAATGGAAGTAGCAATAGACTTTTTTCTTTCGTATCGTGACATACACCTATGGAAGCCTATTTCCACTATTGAATAAAAATAAAAAAGTAATTGCGACTTCTCAGAATTCTGACTATTTTTCTCACAATTCGGACTTTTTTCTCAGAGATGCACAATAAAAACCCGCAATTCTGACTTTTTTTCTTGGAATTGTGAGATATAAACTCGCAATTGCACAACACACAATGAGACATTATGAGACAAAAAAGTCAGAATTGTGAGTTTATACCTCCTAATTCTGACTTAATTTCTCAGAATTGTGAGTTTATATCTTGCAATTCTGACTTAATTTCTCAGAATTGAGTTTATATCTCGTAATTCTGACTGTATAACTTGTAATTTTGTTTATATCTCACAATTCTGAGGAAAAAAATCAGAATTGTAAGATAAAAAAAAAACTCAATTACCTTTTTATTTTTTATTCAGTGGTGGAAACGGGCTTTAATATACATCAGAGTGAAATGGATTATCGAGAAAAAAAAAAGTACAGTAGGGCAGTTGCTATACTTATTGTGTACATACATGTTTTTACATTGTACTTATATTTAAAAATACCTTTCTGTAATCACATCTGTAATTAATTTCTGTAGTTAGATCTGCAATTACCCTGTTGACTGTACTCCTATACCTTAGCCCACTCTTAGCCCACAGACCACCAAAACCTGTCCTTAACCTTAACCGTGTACCACCTCAACAGCAGCATTTTTAAGTTCAACATGAACACAATAAGTACATTGTACTAGGGCTGTAAAAAAAAATTAGAATTTCGAATATTCGTCGAATTTAAAATAAAAATCCACATCCAACGTTTTTGCATTCGAATTTTAGGTGTGCGTTAAGGAGGCAGCCTTATCAGTGGCGCACGAGATGCGATGACGATGTAAGTGTCGTTGCATTATAATGTTTTTGTTAGCCTATCCAGTTGAAGCCACTAGATGCAGCGCTGCTGTGTTGTTAATGACAAATATTGCGGGAAAAGAGAATGGAGAAGATCTTGTTTACGTCAAAACTGAAACCAAGCCTTTCACACAGAACGCATATTTCGCGCATTTTCTAGAGGGACATCACCGTTGCACTCGCGCCTCGCACAAAAGAGCCACATGTTTAGAAAGCCATGTAAAATTAATGCAAGTTCAACTTTGAGAAAACATGTTGACAGGGTTTAATTTTCCCTATCCCACTGCATCTCAAGTTTTTAAATGAAAAATGTATTCTGTGTGATTGGCTTTCGGCCCTTTGTATTAAACTATGAATACATACATGATGCTGTTTTGTTTATAGTCGTTTAAGCAACTTAATTAATTATAATTGGTTTATAAACATTATTTTAAACATTATGCACTTTTTTCACAGATAGTCATGTTTTCTTATGCTTTGAATAAACGTGCATTAGTAATATTTTGCTCGATGCGCCCTCTTGTGGCCTCAGGAGAGAAGCCAAAAGCTTTTCTTCACCCTAACTGAAATTATGCATTTTAAATTCGAATATAATTCGAATTTTGATAATATTCAAGTACAAAATTCGAATTTAGTTTTTCAGACATTTTGACAGCCCTACATTGTACCTAACAATTATTACAATTAAAATAAAACCATTTATAGCAATAGACATGATGGGAGTTCAACACCTTAGAAAACACAAATGTAGTTAAACTACTCAAATAGCTCATTGACTCCATCTACGACCTAAATAGATTCAAAGCCCTTTTGATGAATTGTTGAGCATGTGACTTCTAAAACACCAGCCGGTTTATGGTTGTAAAAGGATGATGAGAAACTTCAAGAGGTCAAAAGACTGTGTTCTCTAATTTTCTTTTTAATTAGGGGAAAACCCAACAGCAATGACAGTTTATGGTGGTTTGGGAGTGTGCGACATGTATTGTCAGTTCTGTGTACATTTCTGTGTGTAAATTTACAGTGCGAGTAAGATCTAATGCTCTCAAGTTGTCTTTGCGTGCACTAGTGTGTCATTGTGTTTGTGTGAATACAAATTCAGTATATTAAACAGACCGAGAAGCCCACGGTCCTCTTATAGCTAACTCAATATACACATTCAACCTCCCTTGTGCACACACGAATACACACAGTCACACACTAACACAAGAACAGGCAGAAATAATAAACATAGACATAAACGATATATTTCCCTCATATTTGGACGCAGTGGTTTACTTTCAGAGAGTGTTAGTGTTTGAAATTACACAACCAATGGGAAAAAGTAAGAAGTGGGTCTGAGATGGTGTGAATCGGGATACTTTATCCCAATATCTTTTGTTTTAATCATTCTGGGACACTTTACAAATCAACTTGCTTTATCATGAGAAGAATAGTAAACATGAAACAGTGTAGAGAACCTTATTCTATAACTAAGCATGTTTGGAGGATACATATATGGTGGATATTCAGTTTTTAAAGACTGACTGTTAATATCCATGGCAATCATGTTTCACATTAAACATAGAGCAACGCAATGTGCTAAAGAACTGTTTTCCAATGTAATAAAATGCAGTGCGTTTGGACTGTGAAAATGCGGCCAAAAACATGGAGAATGTCAAAGTGGTCTGAGAAGCAGATGTTCCGTAAAAAAAAAAAAAATCACCCTCAAAACAAATATTGTTGCCTAGAGAAATCTGATCTTGTAAACTCATTAGCAGATCTGCCTGTTTGTCCACAAAACACATGTCCGTCGAGAACAGGCACCAAAACACTCAAAGAAAAGGTGTGATAAGAGATATTATGGGATGAGCAGACTTTCCTCTTCTTTGATGGCTGAAAGAATTTTGTGCATGGGTTGATTTAAATATTAAAGGGGTCATATGATGCGATTTCAAGTTTTCCTTTCTCTTTGGAGTGTTACAAGCTGTTCGTGAATAGATAAGATCCCTAAAGTTGCAAAGATTAAAGTCTCAAACCCAAAAAGATATTCTTTATAAAAGTTAAGACTGGTCCACGCCCTCCTAAAACGCCTCGTTTAAACACGCCCCCACATGTCTACATCACGATGTGGGAAGATTTGCATAACGCCACCCAAATGTTCACGCAAATAAAGAAGGTGTAACGTTTATTCTCGCTGTAGTATTGTTGTTGCCGCCGCCGCCATGTCGTGGAGACGCTGTGTTTCGGTGTGAAAGCGAAACTATTTTGTTTGGCCTTCCAAAAGAAGACGATATCCGCTTTGTCATGCCTAGAGCTGATCCGTGCTGGTCGCTGAGGAAATACATCAACTTCACGCTGTGGATCGCCGGATCAGCTTTCATCGTGGACGAAGCGGAGTCCAGCCCGGGATCGTCACATGGGGTTGCCGCAAGCCCGCCGCCGCTCACTCAAGCCCGCTGTGTGTGACGCTGTGTGTTTCGGTAAGGGGCGTAACATTTCCGTCACACGCTTCAGGTATTCGGCCAATCACAACGCACTGGATAGCTGGCCAATCACAGCACACCTCGCTTTTCAGACCGATGAGCTTTGTAAAAATCGACGCGTTTCAGAAAGGCGGGGCATAGAGGAGAAACAATAATGTACAGTATGTGGAAAATAATGTGTTTTTTAACCTTAAACCGCATAAACATTTCATTACACCAAATACACAAAATAATGTTCTTTTTAGCAACATCATATGACCCCTTTGCAGTGAAATGGAATTGAGGTTTTAATGCTCAGTTCTTCGTTAACAGAGTAAATTAAATTAAATGAAATTAAATAAAAATTATGGACTCCTGCAGGTAGGGTACCTCATATATAAATACTGCAGTGCAATGGAGATGAGGTTTTAAGGCTCAGTTTTTTGTTGACAAACAGAGTGATGGAATAGTGTCCTATTAGATATGACTGAATGAAGATAAATATAAATGGTTTAGACCAGCACAATGGTAACATCTCAGTGGGTTAAGGATGACTGAGATATTGAGTGACTGCTAGGAAGTGAAGTGGCTGAGCAATGCGGGTTATAGCAAAGAGCAGAATGTGTGTTTTGACTTGACAGGATCTGGATGACTGTCACTGGAACAAGGACATCTGTGTCATAACATTTACTGTCTAGCCGTATACAATGGAGTAATCTTATCCAAGCAAAGACAGAAAAGC